GTAAGTGCATTTACCCATGTTCTTTTATTTCTCATGTAAATAAGGCAATCACCATTTTAGTTATAAAAATCCATAATTAAAAATGGCATTTTTGTCCCATTTAAGTGTTGGAAACTTCCYCTAGGTGGAAAAGTTATTTATCCACCTAAGAAATGGGTAAGTGATATCCAGGAAAATAAACTTTCCCTAGTCCCCACATAAATCTGAAAAAAGAATATATGATTCATGGTCAATGAGAACCAAAATCCCATTGACCAACTTTCCCCCCTCTTAAAATCCAAAAAAAGAACACCCCCTTAAACTGAGGCAAGTCTCAACTGACTCCGACTCAGGCAAACCCAAGCTGTAAAGACTTTAGGATATGCTACCAGACATACCCATAAAACATTGGTGTGCTCATTCATGATAGGTTCCCGGGTTCGGCCGTTACGTTACGACATATTCTGCACACATGCAGCAGCCTAGCTCATTAGATTTCAAACTGCTGAACTGGCGGAACCATAATTGTTCTCAACCCACACCAAAACCGAAAGTCCAACAAAATCTAAATTCAATCAGAAACCCTTTAAATCTGATTACACTATGAATCAACTTCATTAATGCATTTTCTAATGATTAAATCAAATTTGGAAGTAGCTGGATCCAATGGAAACTCAACCAGATTACAGCCCTAAGCAAAGGTCAAACACACCAACTAGTGGAAATAAATGAGGCAAAAACTATAAACATAGTTCTAAGAGTAGTTGAACGTTCATGTGGTATACATGCATAGATGTGGCCTCTACAGAACAACATCCAGACAGGTCCTATCATGGATGTAAAAGAAATGAGGTGCCAGTACTCAGTAGTAGTAGCCATTCATTCAAAGACCGTGGCCACAACTTTTCCAACAAATCAAGAAAAAGATGGTGAACTGATACCCAATTACAATTAAATGAGTTGGGCCGGATTGTTTGAATTAGTCCTGGACTTACCTGATTTAAATATATCAAATCGAGTAATGTTTTAAAAACCAATTCAGAACCGGAACCGAAACCGCTTTTGGCCATTGGTTTCTGGATCAGCAGTTTGACCATCTGATCCAAATGGATGATTTGTTGCAATTAAAAAAAAATGTATAAAAAATTATTAAAATTTGTTCTCTGAATCAAACAGGCCCGTGGTTTAACCACCTGGGTCGATGAATCACTGAATAAGCCAACAGYTTTTGAAAAAAATTCTAGTTCAGGAGTAAAGGAGAACAAAACCGGTTGCTTAAACGATTTCTGAGCCGAATGATCCAACTGTCCTTATCAACGAAGTTTTGAAAGCCATGGAATATAGACCTTTTAACTAAAAACACTAATTAAAATGTAATTGTGAATTTCAAACCCCAAATACTCTGTTGGTTGTGAAGGCCCAAATCACGCAATGGCAGGTTGAAAAAAGTGATTCTAATAAGCGCAATAAAAGACTAAGGTAAATGTGTTGAACTTATTTAATTACTTGAGSTACTTATTATTATTATTATTTAATTTTAGTTTTGTGAACTCTTTCCTTCCAATGAAATTATAGTACAATAACAATTCGAATATATGGCAACTCAGATAATTGTTGGACTCTACCAATAAAGGTTTTTAAAATTGAATCGGACAACAAACTGATCAGGGTCCGGTTTTCAGGTTGAATAGTCCAATCATTTGAACTGAATAGATGGCCCATTCTAAAATAAAATAAAAAGTTAAAAATAAATAAAAATGGCCAAAACTGTTGAACAGTTTAAACGATTTAACTGCTCAAGTCAGCATTTTGCTGACCAAATCAATGGTTTTTGGTGAAATAATAATTCTGGGGTAAAATAGAACCGAATCACTTGACTGATTCCTGATTTTTCGGTCCGACCATTCGGTCTGATTCGGTTTTGAAAACGATGATGCCAACTACCAATTTGAGTTTTGAGCTGACAAAATGTTCATGGCGTGTTTGTAAGGCATGCAAATTATTCTTTCTTTTGTAAATCGGGCTAATATAACTTGAGTTGTTCAACCCCCAATTTTGGGTTGAATTGTTTTTTTTTCCCCCTCCCGGGCTCTATTTATTTGCAATGTAAATCTGGACTGAATATAATTTTACACCCGGTTCAGTTTTTGTGTTTGTTTGTGACTATGATTGACATTTCTATTGGGTACAAAATTTATTCATATGGTATTATATCTGACTGGACCGGAAAAATCGGGAACTGGTCATCTTATTGGTTCCGTTTTACTCAAAACCATATTTTGACAAAAAACTATTGATTCGGTCAACGAATCGTTAACTCGGATAACAGTTTTTGACTTTTATTGCTTTTTAATTTTTTTGTCAGAGTAAACCATTCATTCGGACCAAACGGTTGAACCGTTCAACCGGAACTGGACCCCAGAATGATTCCCTGTTCATTTTTGCTACAACATAGTCTCACCTTAATGTCATCACCTCTTCTAACTCAAAGTAAAACACGGCAATCCATCGAATGCCATGATTTGACAATTTCAGTTCAGGGCCAAAATCACATTGCCACAGTTGTTTTACTCTTGTATCCATATATAAAGAGGGGCCATTTCATTTTGCTTCTTATTACATGTAAAAAAAAACGTAAACTAGAATTTACATTCGCCCTATTTGAACTCTGCATTTATAATGGCTTAATTTGAAAAGAATGCAAATACAAATATATACCATGCAAATGTATATAAAATAATACAAAATATAAGATTTTGCACTCTACACATTTGCATTTACACTCCTTCCAAACTGATTAAATGGTGCAAATGAAACTTGCACTGCAAACAAATTGAGACTTACATTTTTAAGTTTGCTTATAATGCATTTATGAATATTTGCTGCATGTTAAGTTTAAATTTAAATTATTCACATTACAAATGTTAGATGATTTACTTTTGTTTATATTTCACAATATGTTCTTTCAAGATGCATAGACTCATACCAGAATAAAAACTAGAATGCTATTCAGGTCCTAATTTTATCAGTTAACCCCAACCTACCGAAACTATCATTTAACCATACTCGAAAAGATCATCCAATTTGAGCTAAGTCTTAAAATTTTGGTTGTGACATTGTTTTATCACTGATCACATTTTTTGTTTCATGGTGTAATTCTTTTTTTTTGGGTAAATGCTTCATGGTGTAATTCATGCACCATGGATTTTGCCTATGTTTTTTGTTCATCTTCTTGTTTCTCAAATTTAAGATAAACAAGTTAACTCACTTTAACATTATTATGCATACGAAAATTGTATCTGGACCATTGTTTTAAAAGGCTCTTGAGGTGAGGCCAAAGGCCTAAGCCTCGAGGCGAGACTAGGAAAAAAGACTTGGCCTCAATAGCCTTAGACCCCCACCAACAAGGCTTAGGCCTTGAGTTGTTTGAGGCTTACGCCTTTGGGCCTTTGGTCTCAAAATGTCCAAGGCTAAGGCCTTAACCTAATGTGGAATATGAAGGTTTAGATAGGGGCAAACATAAATTTAAGACAAAAAATAAAACCTTGTTTTGTATATATTGGTATAATGAGCAAATAAATAAACATACAAATAATAAAAAAATTGCATATAAAATATGTAAGAACATAGCTTGCTTTATTGTTCATGCTTTATTCTTACTCATTTGCACTTTTATCTCATACTTCATAACCTATTTCTTCTAAATCACATGCATCATATAAATGGTCACTCTTCGCTAATGCATGCTAGTGCAAGAAAGGAGATAGGAATGCCTTATTATTAAAATAATGTTAATTTATATCCTTAAAAAGTTTGACTTCTATGATTTTGTTCTTCTATGTATGAAAAATTAAAAAAAAAAAAACTACTTCGATAAGATTCTAACCCAAATTGTAATGTCTTTGGGGCACAATGTGAATACTCAATACATCCCTTTCAGCATATTGGAGTATATAAATACTTTGAACCATGAATTCATGTCTAATATACCATACAAACTATATAAAATTATAATTTTATATTTTCATGTCTTTATTATTTATGTATTATATCCATTTTTTTTTTCAAGTCTTACGCCTCAAAAAGCCTTGAGACTTGCACTTTGCCCCTATGAGACAATCGGCTCGCCTCGACCACTAGCCTTTTAAAATCCTGATATAAACATAAAATAGTTGATACTTAAATGCATATTTATAATACAGATTTAGGTCGGATGAAATTGTCTAACATCTCGGCCCTAATCCAACATAAAATTAATTGGGTTCATAAATTTCAACCATACCCCAAATCCAAATTTCATTCCGATCGGACCGAACCCGATTTCTTTGGGTGGTCCAAAGTTGCAGCCCTAACAACTATGGCCAATTTCGGTTAGTCTATTCCATGAATAGTATTGGAAAATGAAAAATACAGACACTCATTTTGACTGGAGAGCTCTGTATCAATAATCAAAATCATAACGTCGTCGTCACTCGTCACTATGGCTTTAATTAGGTAAGGACTAAGGACCCTCAGACCCTGGCGGTGGTGGTTGGTGGACCTTTCCCTCTCTCTCTCTCTCTCTCTCATTCTCGACTTTCAATTCAACCATACTTTGAAAGTTTGAATTAAACAAAACAACACGTCCTCGTCTATGCTGGGGTCCATGTCCATTGTCCAAGTGTCCAACTCCGTCCAAATCCAATCTCCAAGCCACGTGGCGTTCTCTCTCAATCTGATGAGTCCAGTCGCAGTAACAAATCAATAATCATCCTTGACAGCGCTGTCGCAATGGGACAATTAATTCCACCTTTGATGAACAGTTGTAAGATTAGGGTGATTTGATTACTGACTTTTGACTTTATTAAACCAAAAAGAAAGCGAGGTGTCGGCGGGAACGCCTGTCAGCAACTTCATAAACGCTTCCAATTATCGTATGCCACGTGTCTTAACGAGAACCGATTTCAAGATTGTGACGGACGTGGAAACTGTTTCTTAACTGGATTTAACTGCGTGCTTGGAGTCCGCCCTCTGTTTAAACGCCAAAGCTGAATGCAGAGACCACCAGGTACGGACTCTTTGGTCAAACCTAGATAGAGCTGCAACTGGAAGAGAGATCAAGGACTCAGGTTCAAGGAGTTTGAGAGTTTCTGAAGAGGAGCACCGTTCTTTCTTTCTCCCTCCCCTGCGCTCCAATTTATAAGGTGATCCGTTAAAGGTGGAAAATGTGAGGTTTTTACAGCTCATGGTATCCCTCTGCAACCTTTTTTCTCTTTTGCCCTGTCTTGTGGCATAGTTTTTTTTTTGCTTGTCTTTTCATGCTTGATTTGTTCTTCGTCGTCGTTCTTGTTGTCGTTTTAGGGTTTCGTTTCCATTTTTCATGACACATGAAAAGCTGTTGCTTCTCTTCTGCTGTGTTCATCTCTGTGATTTTGGTTATTCGCTTGTTTAATCTGAGTTATGTTGATGCACAATGTATTAGAATTAAGTTCTATCTTTTTACTTTTTTTTTTGGCATCAGTAAACTTCGGTAGAGCGACAAAATATCCATTACGGGGATTTAGTTTATTGGATGAAATCATGTCAACTTGTCTCTCGTAATCCTTAGTAGTGAAATTTGGGCATTTATTCAATCAAGTTTGCCTCGTTATTATTGTGATGGACGATTTCACGTCTTGGTGAAGACTGCAAACAATTTCCAGGTGTATGCTGAGATGGATGACTAGAAAGGGTAGGATCAGAAATTCTATAAAACTGTTAACTGTCCAGTTATGCTCCACGGAGAGTGTTGGGCAGTCAATAAACAGCATCTGCACAAAATGGATGTGGCAAAAATGCTTATACTTGAGAGAATGAGTGGAAAAGCTAGAAAGGATAGGATCAGTAATGAATTCATTGGAAAGAACGTAGGAGTATCTTCAATAGGTGATAAAATGGGAGAGAGTAGAATGCATGGAAGACCATGAAAAGCACGTTTAAGAAGAAGTCATCTGTTGCAATTTGAAGGAACTATAAGGGCTAGGGGGGAGGCCGAAAAAGGACATGTGTTTGGGATAAACAGAACGGAATGGCAAAATAGGTTCGTGTAGCTGACCCTATATGTTTGGGATAAGTCTTGGGTCAGAACTGTAGTCATTCAAAGGAACCTAAGAGCCAATAGGTGATAAAATGAAAGAATTTAGACTAAGATGGTTTGGTCACTTGCAGACCACCTGCACCGCTACACCRCTTGTAAGAAGTGTTCAGTTACATGAAAAGCACGTTTAAGAAGAAGTCATCTGTTGCAATTTGAAGGAACTATAAGGGCTAGGGGGAGGCCGAAAAAGGACATGTGTTTGGGATAAACAGAACGGAATGGCAAAATAGGTTCGTGTAGCTGACCCCATATGTTTGGGATAAGTCTTGGGTCAGAAATGTAGTCATTCAAAGGAACCTAGGAGCCAATAGGTGCTAAAATGAAAGAATTTAGACTAAGATGGTTTCGTCACTTGCAGACCACCTGCACCGCAACACCGCTTGTAAGAAATGTTCAGTTACAAGTTGAAGGGGCTAGAAGGGCTAGGGGCAGACCAAAAGGGACAAGGGTTGAGGTGGTAAGAAATGATTTAAGTGCTCATGGTTTAACAATAGTTATGGCATTAAACAGAATGGAATGCTGAAACAGGATTCATGTAGCTGACCCCATATAGTTCGGGATAAGGTTCAGATGATGATGATGATGACTGATTTTATTCTTCACAAAAGATGGGTTGACACTCTAGTCACTAGGTGGCTTTCTGGTTCAATATCTCTTAAAGCTTTTGAATTTCTGAAACTTGAAAGTGATGCCGATCAGGGGGAAGTTTAACCTTGATCATCTGCTTTTTCCTATCATATTGCTTTGATCTCAAAGTTGATACTTAGGAGTAGTAAAATGGAAATATTTTTTACCATAGGCCTTGAGAGAGAAAGTTTAATGGAATCATATTTGTTGATGGCTTACCAGTGAAGCTGAAAGAATGCCTTTTTTCAGTGGAATCATATTTGTTGGATTCTTTTAAGCATAAAAGCTATTATCCAATGCTGGTCCCAGATATCCAGGGTACTGGATACAGATCTAAACTCTGGAATTTTAACATGAAATGGCCACTAAGGGAGCAGAATGGAAGGGGTCGTGGTTATGTGCAAATTTGACAGTTATGATTAGCAAAGTCGACTTGATTTCTTTGTTGTCCCAATTTCTAGCATATTAGGTATTGCTGAAATGTTCAAGTTGATTTGCTAAATGAATTCATTTAAAGCAGGAAGTAGAAAACAATCATGACATTTGAGTGACTATGTCAACTGACAGAAAGGATCTAAGAATCTTTTATGGAGGGAGAAGATTATTTGTGCAAACTACAAATCTCAACAACTGCTTTATTTATATCATCAGAATAGTGATGTGTTTTTTTTTTTGAATTGATAACAAAATGTAATTTATTAATGATCATTGTCAATAGTAGAAGAAAATAACATATAGAAGGGTCCAAAAGGGCGGGGCGGGGGGNGGGGGGGGGAACAAAGCTCTTCAAAGAAGCCAACACATGGCACAATCCTTGACAAGACATCAAAACTGAAAAAATACACCTCTGATAACAACAAAAAAGGTCAGATGAGATATGGAACTTAAGACATAAAGCAGTGGACTGATCATTTTTGAACAAAAATTCTTCTTCAGTGTTTTCCCTGCCGCAACTTCTGCTTCCTCTCTTGCCCTATAACCAACCATGTTGAGCCACTGAGTCAGAAAGGGATTTTAGTGGGGTGACTAAAATGTGCGCAAATCTTTAATACGATGCAAGATATTGTTTTTCTAAAGATAGTGGTAATTATGTAAATTTGAGCTATGAGTGGATTCTATCTCTTATCCTTGGGTTATCTATTTAGTTAGTGATATTTTTGACYAAAAATGTGTTTGATGCCAAATTATTCAAAGATACATAAAATCTGAGAATGTTTATTTTTATTATATTTTATATTATTAAATATGATTATATTTGTGAACATGCACATTTTAATATATCATACATACACTTGCATGTGAAATATGCTGGACCTTTTGTTCCATATCTTAATAACTAGTGTGAGGGCATGTGCCATGCACGTGGCAAGTAAAGGTAAAGATATAAATTAACAAAATGTTATGAAATTTAACTATTATGACTGCACCATAACCAAAGCAAATATCCAGTTTATAATAGTATAGATGTATTAAATGCATTTTTTTTATTGCATCTTGAAGCCATACACAAACTTTTCTAGTATCAAACTTATACCATTTACATATTTACTATGATTATAAGTTATCCTCAGCGCGAGGTTATATTCTTACTGGTTGAGGTTTATGCATGGGATTTAGCATGAAACTAGTTAAATGCCCAATCTTTGGAACAATATTTCAATTGAAGGGTTGAGACATGGTGTTAGCCTGTGATGCATGCCTAGCATACTGGTGTTGGGCACAATAGGTACCCAATATGACATTCTATATTGCATGGACACTTCCAAAGTATACTTCATTATGTTAACACATTTAAAAACTTTGTATATGTTATTATGTTAGAAATTAAACTTGACAAGATTTTTTTTTTTGATAGATTAAACTTGACAGGATATAAGTATTGAGAAATGACCTATAGATTCAAAGACTAAAAGCCCGAAATAAACATAGTAAATGGGATAAAATGTGACTATCCAAGATCTTACTCTTAGGAAATAAAGAGTCCTATCTCTGTTTCTCATATCTTTATTGATGTCACTACTTGATGATATCTCCTCTTTTTTTTTGTTTTAATTAAAACATGAATCAACTGTTTTGTATGTGTCTTTAGACTGGGTTATAGATTGGGTTAAAGCATTATTGCTACCTATATCTATTGTAATTCAATACTTTTCTGTTATTAATAAAAGTCTTTTTGCTGATAAAAGAAAAAGTACCGAAGCATGATTGAAAGACTATCTTATATAGGCTGATAAAAAATACTATCTTATATAGGGAGAACATATAACAAAATAATTATTGCATACAAAAGGATTATAAGAATATTAAGGGCCTTAAAAACTCATTGCATTCTTAAAATGCTTCAATGCCTTTCATTAGTTTCTTTAGGTAAAACAAATTTTAAACCCAAATTTGCCAAAGTAAAATGGTAAAAGCACACATCTGGAATGAACAGTGATAGAAGAAGAAAAAAGGAAGAAATAATGAATAACTCATTCAGGTGGATCCCTAGAATTTAATATTCTTGTGAATTCCCTACTATGATACTTTGCTTGTTGGGCTTTGTACCATGGTCTCTCTCCTTGTATGTATGGGTTTTGCTGTCGCACTGCTAACAGTCCACACTGTAATATTAGTAAAACATTCGTTGATCATTGTTTCTGATTAAAACAATAAAATCATGGGTATGTTTAGAAGATAAAGCAGTGCTGTGTTAACTGCTAAGCTTTGGGCTCACATTGTAAGCTTCAATTATAACACTGAAGAAACTTTTTTTTTTTTTCTTTTTTGTTTTGTGGTAAAGTTCAGATGAATTGGTGAAGGAATTCCTATAATGTTTCCCTTGGAGACCAGTTGTGAAAATTTTCTATGGTTCTGTACTTTTTCTGAATTCTGATGCCTAGATATTTTCTATTTCTTTCTGAGGTCTGTCTTATATGTTTCTCTGTCTATGTTGAGTGTCTCTTTGATATGTGATCTCCAGACCAGTTAGTTACAAACAGATTACTTCAGTGTCTCTGGACCAAATATGGCTTCTGCTGGCATAGCCCCTTCAGCAGTCGGAAAGCCTGATGGCAATTCAATGTCTGTTGACAAACTTCCTGAGGAAATTAATGAGATGAAGATCAGAGATGATAAGGTTGTAATTGCTTTTTCCACCAAATATTTTGGAGGAACCAGTTCTATATTTTGTGATTGTTTCTACTCCTTGATGCCCCATATTCTTGCTGAACCTTTTTTTTCCCTTCGTAGGAAATGGAAGCAACTGTTGTGGATGAAAATGGGACTGAAACAGGTCACATTATTGTAACAACAATTGGTGGTAGAAATGGTCAACCCAAACAGGTATATCATGGTTGATCTTTTTGGTTAACTATTGGATTATTTGTTGTTTATTTAGGTTGCAGGGAGAAAAGTTGTTATTATAAAAAAGAATATGGGAATGGTTAAACCAATAAAGGAAACACCACCTCCTAAAACCCACTCCAAACATAACCCCGACCATCACCTCCCAAAACTCCAAGAACAAAATTTAAACAGCAAATACAAAATAACAAACCCACCGTTTACAAAACACAACCAAGCAAAAAATCTTCCAACAATTCAGGATAAGCAGTAAACTGAACCCCCAAAACCCACCCTTCAACCTTAACTATGCCTAAAAACAATCACTATCTTCTCCAACAAGCAGATTCTTCAATCACTGCCTACCACCATTTGAACCTTAAAGCTCAATTAGCTGGCTACTAAAGAAACAATTTACACCACCTCAATACCTCTCTTAAAGATTTTTTTTCCACCTTTTTGATAGGCCCCATCTCAAACACACCACCTCTCAACTCAGCAAGCACTTTGGAAACTGGGATAGTTTGATAACATTTATACCTGTTAAAGTGTTTAACTGCATTAATATTCTTCTTACTGTCTTTCACTCATTTTGAATTGTCATTAATCATCTCCAACTCCAAAACTGCATTTTTTTTTCTCAAATGTCTTGAACTCATCCCCCTTTCCAAAACCTCCTCTATCAACCACCCCACTATTTCCAGCTAAACCCATTCTGCCTTGAGCCTCCTTAAACCCTAAATTGAAACCATCCTCAGCTTGAACGTTCTTCTCTTCCTCCCAACCCCTCTCCCCCAACTCTTTAAATGTCTTTCTTGCAAATTTTGAGTTCTTCTATGCTTATCATTTCAAGATTTGAAGTCCTCGAGGGTTCAAGGCAGTACATATTGATTCTTTTTGATCAGCAGGCAGTACATGTTGATTGAACCCTCACAAATAAGAAAACTAATACAAAAGAAACTAGTATTTAACTTAAACTGAATAATTTAATTTAATAATCTCTATTTTATTATTATAATTTCAAAAAGTTAAGAATACAAAAGTATCCAAGAGCATGTGTAAAAAATATCTTGGCGATTAAGCAAGGCAACCCTCCATGAGAACCTTATTGCCTAGGCATCACCTTTACAACTATGGTATAATTTGTTGAAACCTATCATTTTATATATTTTAAAATTGTTCATGGTATAGAGTATATTCAGAAGTGTCTATGCATTATCTGGTGTCATATCCGCAAGTAGTGTCTGACACTGGTACACCAGGTATCTACAAGTATATGGGTAGTCAATGCTAGTTCAGTTGTCACTAAATGATGCCTTAGTTTCATATTATTTCACCTTAACAGGAAAATGAACGTTTGGTCTCTTTAAGATGTTGTTTCATGCTGTGGTCTGTTTGTCTATGGTAAGACTTGAGAAAACATGATTAAAGTGTAAAATGGTATGATGAGGAGACATGCTTAGCAATTAGGTTATGCCCTCAAACTAGTATGGATTTTCTTGTTCTACACATACTTGCCCCTGCACCTCCTCTCTTCCCTTGTATGATTTGTTGTTATGTGAAATTTAAGGTGTGTGCAAGTAAAATATTCTAAATATGATTTGTTCAAAGTAACAGAGATTCCTCTGCATATTATGGTTCACCCGCTCTAATGCATTTTGAATTGTTGTCAGACTATAAGTTACATGGCTGAGCGTGTTGTTGGACATGGTTCATTTGGTATTGTGTTTCAGGTGATTTATTGAATCAATCATCATATTTTGAATCCATTAAATGATAAACTATTGTTGTCTAAGTTTATGAGGCAGTTCTCTCCAGACTGAAATTTTAACATACTCTAGCTTCAATAACTTTGTTCTGCAGGCTAAGTGCCTAGAAACAGGGGAAACTGTGGCAATCAAGAAGGTTTTGCAGGATAAGAGATATAAGAACCGGGAATTGCAGACAATGCGCCTTCTTGATCACCCCAATGTGGTCTCACTAAAACATTGCTTCTTTTCGACAACAGAAAAGGATGAATTGTACCTCAATTTGGTTCTTGAATATGTACCTGAAACAGTTTATCGTGTATCAAAGCACTATAGCCGGGCAAATCAACGAATGCCTATGATATATGTCAAACTCTATACATACCAGGTCTGGAATTTTGAATACACAATTCCTCTAGTTTTGTTTGACATAATGGAAGAAGAAAATGAATTCATCGAATTATTGTTTTCTTGGCATTGATTTTTTAAAAAAGTATTTATTTCTTACTGCGACCAGAAAAACTTTGTATCAATCAATATTTGCTGCTTTGGAAGCAAACTTACCTGATGTTGATTAAAATTGTTTTTATTTATTTTTTTCCCTTCTTGTTGGTTGTTGTATTAGATTCATAGCCTTGAGCCCTTCACAATACTATGTCTCTAATCTATAAATACGTGTTATAGACACAAAACCTGCTTCCTCATGAATTGTACTTGGAACTCACAATTTGTTATATTTATTCATCCATTTTTCATCAGAAATAGATTAAAAGGAACTTCTAAGTGCAGATAAAGAGGAAGCAAAGCACACAGTACAACTTACAATACATCCAATTGAAATGATGCGTTAACCATGAGAACGCAATATCAACCTGAAGAGAATCTAGCATCAGCAGATCTTGGAATAAAATCACTCTGAATGAGCTGTTCAATTGAAAGTGTAGGATCTAGCATTTAATAAGTTTCACATTAACGTCCATTTGGACAGCATCCMGCCAACCACCAATTGAGAACTCCTCTATATGCAATCTCTCCCAGCCTAATGCAACCCAGTCTTGTGTCCTGATCCCAAAGAGAAGGGCTATAATTACTGTTCTAAGGGGACTCCTTTATTGAATCAGAGAAAACAACTCGAATTTTACTTTATCATAATATCAGTATTATCTTATCCRAGCATTTAATTTTGTTCCCCTTTCAGATTGTCCTTTGTTTTTGGTAACATTTCCTGTACTATCTTTCAATATCTTACTTCATACTTGTTTCCATAGTAAACTATTATTTTACTATACTTACCATATTATTGTTTCTATTTCATCTTTGAGAGTTTCTTTCTTGAAACAAGAAGAAAAGAAACCGGACTTGACTGGATCTCACAATCAGTTAACCATTGTTTCTGTGAAAGAATATTTTCTTAACATATATTAAAACATTAGAGTTTATTTTATGGGATTGGAATAGATATTGGTTTCCTGACAATGATGAAAAAGAAACAGTGCTGATCTGGCACACGACATTGTTGATAAACATGGCACACCTCCATTGGAACTACGAAAAAATGCCCCTTTATATAATAATAAGCATTAGTACAAGGACAATTTTTCCCTTTCAATAGTTTGGAACTAATAGCTAGGGTTGTCCCCCCCCCCATCAGAAATGGGATGTGCCTATTTCCAAACCAAAAAAACAAGAATAAACAAAAGAATTGTGGCACAGTTAATGGTTTTCTTGGTGATTCACCCTTGTTGGTACGGGCTTGGCAGGGTAGTTTCATCATTTCTGGTTTTGTGGAGTTTGTGAATATGTTAGGGTATGGTGGATTGAAATGGTAAGGTATCTATAAATAAATAAAAACAAAAATATAAAGTCATGCCTCTGTGGTTTTGCTTCTTCATATTTTTCTTCTTTCTGTTAGTACAATGATCGTTTATCATCCATACAAAAATCAGTGTAGTTACAGAAAGAAGCCGAGCGATGACATGTAACATCTTATTGTTTGCATATGGTTTCCTTCTTCATGTTCAATAATCAAATTTTCATCCAGATACCAGTCCCCCGTCTCTCTGCTGTGGTTTATTCTAATGTTCTGCCTTTTAGGTGTTATTTGTGGTGGCTAATGGTGGAATTTATTTTTGTTTTAGCTAATAAAAATGATTGTTTTTAAAAACCAACATCATGCATATTGGAAAACAGTCCCTTGTTAATTCCAAAATTTTGAAGATTTCTGCTTTTTATGGACAATGGCAGATCTGTAGGGCATTGGCATATATTCATGGGGGCATCGGAGTTTGTCACAGGGACATCAAGCCACAAAATCTATTGGTTTGTGTTAGAAGATCAAAGACCTTCTGTCTTTATGATTTAAAACTCTTCATTAACCCTGCTGCTCTTTCAGGTCAACCCTCACACACACCAGCTCAAGCTTTGTGACTTTGGAAGTGCAAAAGTGCTGGTATGTTACCATTTTTTTACATGTTGATGCATGTTCCTGTTTTTGATAACTAAGCTAAATTTTGTTTTTAAACTGAAAAGTTTCCTTGTAACTGTAATTTAATTGCGAATTCAGGAAATAGAGCAGATGTGGAATACATGTGGTTAGTGTGGCACATGGTTCAAAGTATTGATATGCGTTGTACTGTATTGTTTTTCTTTTTATCAGTGTACTGTATTGTGTTGTAGTTTATTGGTTTTTAGGGTCACGAAACACTAAATACTAGGATTTAGGACATGTAGCCATGTTCAATGTTTACTACCCTTCTCAGAGATGGCCATGCTCAACGCTTGACACCTGGAACAATTTTTATCCATCAGTATTGTTCCTTTGAATTGTGCAATGTGCAAAAATTGCATATTGCTTGTGCATGTTGATACTATGAACCATGGTGTGGCAATAGTTCTTAAAATGATCAAGGGAGCCATTGCAGGTTGTTTCTTTTATTGTATTTGGGAGGATTGTGCAACACCATCAATTGCAGTCTCTCTCTGGTATCTTCCATTTCTATGAAGGCTCTTGAAGGTGTTGCACAATACTCTTTCTCAGGAAGTGTGCCTGCCACACCAATGCAGCTTTGATTCATATCCATCACTAATGGTCGGATTTGCCCATATCTGTCAAAAAATTGTCAGATTTGTCCATCATTACATGATGTATGACCCATGACCCATCTTAAGTTCCATTTCTTTTTGTTCCCTTCTTTCTAGATGCTCGTAAATGCCAAATGCCATGTTTCCACGTAGACCTGCATTTCTTTGTCATTTTTAATGGATTCCTGTTAATGATCTCTTGGTTTCCCTCTCCATTGATAGATACCTAAGCTTCTTTCTGATCTATTTATGTAACAGGTCAAGGGCGAGCCAAACATATCATATATTTGTTCACGTTACTATCGGGCACCCGAACTCATCTTTGGGGCAACAGAATACACAACTGCAATTGACATTTGGTCAGCGGGTTGTGTCCTTGCTGAACTACTTCTTGGACAGGTCTCTGCAAGGAATTGATTTGTTTTTATTGATATGTGGCAATAATTGGGAGTACTGATCCTTCCATTGTTTTCTCTTTCTTTTCTTTCTTAATAGCCTCTCTTTCCTGGGGAGAGTGGAGTTGACCAGCTTGTTGAGATAATCAAGGTAAATTTATTCCAAGGCTTATACAATAAGGGCTCTGTTTCAATATTAATGCTCAGTTTGGAAAGAGTACAAATACAAAAGTGTACGGCCTAAAACCTTGCATATTGTATTTATAAAACCTTGTATTTGTATTGTACATATATGTATTTGTACTCTTCCCAAACTGTGCCTAAAGGGGCAGAAATGTTCATTTTCTATGTTAAAGTTGTGAAAATTTAATTAGCTCTATTTCACTATGTCAAAGTTGTGGGCAACTGAGCGTATCTTAGTTGGGTTTCAGGTGCTTGGTACTCCCACACGAGAAGAAATCAAATGTATGAATCCGAACTACACAGAGTTTAAATTTCCACAGATCAAGGCTCATCCCTGGCACAAAGTGAGCACCATGTGTCTCCATGTTAACTAGGATTTATGCATGAAAGCTTCTTGGTATTACTTACAATTGAGGTTTTACATTATTTTCATCTGTTCAGATATTCCACAAGCGCACGCCCCCAGAAGCAGTTGATCTTGTCTCAAGACTCCTTCAGTATTCTCCAAATCTACGATGCACTGCTGTGAGTGCTTCCTCTGCCCCAATACTACCTCCTTTCCATAACAAGGAGGGGGGGGGGGTCCATTTCCTTTCTTTTTACAGTTTGTGGAATCCATTTATTTGTTTGAATGCTTTTTTATGCTATTTATACATCTTGCCAAATGGATCATTTATTTAATTTTGATGTTGCTCATATGTTCTTGAATTTGTGGGGGGATATTTTATGCAGTTGGAGGCCTGCGTTCATCCATTCTTTGATGAACTTCGTGATCCAAGCACTCGTCTTCCTAATGGGCGCCCTTTGCCTCCTCTTTTCAACTTTAAACCTCAAGGTTGCTTTCCTTCTTACTGTGCGTTCTCATTTACTCTGTTTTGACTGCCTGCTGATGTCATGTAACCTTTTATCTTTGCAGAGCTAAAAGGAGCAACTTTAGAGCTCCTTGCAAAACTGATCCCTGAACATGCTCGGAAGCAGTGCCCCTTCCTTGGTTTCTAAGCTGTAACATTACATGGTCATAGATATGAAGTTGTCAAGTGTAACATAATGAATGCCCTGCATGTAGTTTCAAGAAATACAAACTGCGCAGTTAAAATTGTTGTTTTGGGTTTCTTCCAAAACACTGTTGAAAGCTGCTTGTTTAACCATGTATTGACCTGCTTGTCATAATATTCGATCCGGAAATGACGTTGAAAAATTATGCTGGGTATCGTATCCATATTCAGCTATTGACAGGCTAAAACATTTTCCCTCTTGTTTTTCTCCCTGGTATTCTTGCTTTTGTATGGACTTGCTTGGACCTCTTCCCTGCTGTATTTTCCTACTTGTATCGACTGGTTTGGTTTCTATCCTAAGAAACAAAGATATATGAATTATCAGTAATAAATGAAGAATGCCAGAATCAATGAATTTACCCTGCTGATAATGAATGAATATGTGAAAACAGCATTTTGTCAGACAAGTTGGGATTTTATTTGGAAATTTTTTTTTTATTTAAACCAGACCACGGCTGACAGCTGATCCATAAAAAAGGAATAAAGAAAAACCCACAAAAATGATTTGATTGTGGGTGCTGTGCTGCAAAATTTTAACGCCCCTTTTTCTGACAAGTATAATCCCTAAGATGCATCGTATTCTGTTGAATAATAATATTGTAGACGCGCACCAGGAGGCAGCACGTCTGTCCTATACAATACCACCTTCATCTCCTCAAAATACCAAAATAAACCGTAATTCCCATGGAGGAACAGATAGATTGTTAGTAGCTATGGAGTTTAGACGACGATGATTCTACATTCCTTTAATGCCACATCTCCTTCCATCCTACCCTCTTCCCTTCATCCCTCACTAGGTTTGTTTGGAAGGTGCATAATTGTTCTTACCCTTAGTCCAACCATTTGTGGTTTTTATTGTCATTTAAGAAGTCATTTTTTTTGTCTGTTTCAAGTTCCAGATGACTGTTTAGGTGAATGTGAGATATCGTTTCTCTTGTAATGGTAAATGTAGGCTTTTTCTGTCTGTGGAGGAAACTCGAAGAGTTTGAGTTTGCTGCTTCAATGGATACATACACCGTTTAAAATGTGATGTATGCATAAAGAAAGTCTCTGTCTTTCTATAAAATCTACTTTTAATTAATTATCTAAAATAATTAGTAAAATCTCTTGGCAAAGGAAATAACCAATCTCTCTAAATCAATGTTATTTTACTTCTTTAGTGTACATTACATATGCTTGCTTTCTATTCATTGAATCAACGTATCATGTGTAACACCAATATCAAAATATATGCAGCTTTAGTACTGCTTTGGGCAATGGACTATTTTCACCCATGGCCCAATTCTACTCTATGAATTWGCCGACCCTATATAGTTGGGACAAGGCTTAGATGATGATGGTGATGATACAAAACTCTATGAACTACATATATATATATATCTAGTTTGCAACCAATCTCACAGCACTATTGGTGGCTCTAGAGGTTTTAAGTCGAGGCTCAGACTCAGAGCTCGGTGTGGATAGGGTTGTTTCTACTGATGAGTGTTATAAGTTCGGTATCCTTTGTGTTGTCTGGGTGGGTCTTCTTGTCCGAGAACCGCAAGCAATCGGCAGAGGGATGCACGACTCCATATCCAAATCCAGTGGCAGAGTTGCAGTAGGTCTCAACTGTTCCGTCCTCCTTCTCCAGGTTGACATTACTCAGGACTATGTGGCTGCATGGAACTGTATCGCTGCACGCAAATTTCATAGCTTTTGCGCTCTTAGTAGTCCCACTGATGTTTCGGTACATGATTTGGCTTATTTGCACAGCCGATGTCTGATAATGCAAAGAAGAGAGCGAGGGTTTAGGGTTAGTTTAAACTTTAAACCTGCAGCAGTCATTCTTGATCATGAGCTATATATGTTTAGTGGGTGCAATTCTTAATCTTCTTATGTGTAGTCTTCAATGTCTAGTTCAGTCGATGGAATGAATACTGAAGAATCGTCATGCAAATATGCAATGCAACAACACCAAAGCTATGGGATGAAGAGTCCCAAGGCTACAACTATTAGTAGTGTACCTGATTCTGACAAGATTTTGGGGAGTCGCAGTAGAATTGATCGATGATGATGGGATTTTCAACTTCGTCCATCTGCACATTTTCAAAGCGTATTGCGCGAACGTAGCCGGATCCTCCCTGCACGGAAAATTAAAAGATAAATCATATCTCACCGAAAAAAACAAAAACAAAAATGGTCGAAACTCTTCTCTGGGTATGGACGTATTGTTTGGGGTGCCCACAAGGCTACAACTACAAAACAATTAATCCTTGCTTGTCTGTTTGTTTGGAGAAAGATTTACCTGCCAAGTCTTAATCCTGACGCCATTAGTAGTCTCCCTAAGGAGTGCAGTGTCCAAAACCACCTTCGAGACGATGCCTACGGAGTTGTCTTTGCCAAGGCTCCCTATGCTGAATGTTTATTATAACCAAAAAAAAAAAGAAGAAGAAGCTTTCAGAGCCATAAACATTAATTGCTACTCTTACTCTGCCCATATCTGTTTGCTACCACCCAAAAATCAACATACCTGATGCCGTGGCCTGGTCCGCAATAGATGTTCTTCATCTTGATAGCTGAGCTAGCATTGACGATGGAGATGCAATCATCACCTATGCATCAAAACCACAGACCCATGATATACAACTTGTAACTTGTTTAGGAGATGTAGTCTGTAGAAAGAGATCTAGAGAGAGAGAGAGAGAGAATTAAATTTCATTGTGAAACAACGTAACTGAGCTTTCAGTTATGAATGTTTCCTTTGACGGTTTAACTGCCAGTCAGATCAGATCCCATAAAATACCGTCAAAATGGGGCTCAAAATGCTCACTTGGTCAGGGCCTCGGTGATTTGAGATTAAACCGCCGGGCAGATTCGGGCTAACCCAGTTTAGTCCATTGCTTCAAGTTTTAGCCTTTAAGATATAATAAGCTTATCAACCCAGAGAAAAGAAAGAAATAAGAATGCAGCTGGGGCCGTGGGGAATGGAATAATGTATGGAAAACCTGTTCCAATTTTGCAATTTTGAATCGCAACATTAGTGGAGGCAGTGATATGGATTCCATCAGTGTTGGGACTGTTCCCTGGAGCCGAGACTAGGACGTTGGTTACTCGAACTGATGTGCAGCGAGAGATGACGAAGTGCATTTGTTGACTGTTCTGAATGGTAAGATCTTTCACCCTCACCGCCGTGCTCGAATCTATCGTTAAGGCCTGCATTCATTCAATATAATCACTGCTCCTACGTGCATTATATGTACTGTTGCTTAAAACAACTAATAAAAAAGTAATGCTATTTGAAACCATTGGCGATCGATGATGAGTGGGTGTGGGTTAATGGAAGGTAGTCCTTACTGTTGGTGCTCCTCTGCATGGCTGTCAAAAACAGATTAAAATTAAAATGGAACATCAGCAAATTAAGAAAATAGTGCTGGTTGACAGAAAAGAGATCAATATTGGAACAGAATTAATAATTAAGATGGAAGAATTTACATTTGATTTGTTTCTTTTGCAGGATGAATCCCACCATTTTCTGCCTGAGCCATCTATAACCCCACTACCTTGGAAAACCACCTTATTCAGTTTGGAGAAATCAAGCCAAATTCTTAGGTTGTTGGGGTCCCATCTCTTGGGATCATCTGGCGCTACTATTGTTCCGTCGATCTGCATTATTTAACGCTCATTCTGAAACCTCAGCTCATCACCGGTGATTAATACCCAAATTACTGAATGATTTGGTACCTGGATGATGAACTTGTCGCCACAGGGCCCTATGAATCTAGTGGCACTAACGAGATAACGTCGTCCAGCAGGCACCAAGAAAACTGATTTTGGAGTAGAGCATGCTTTATTCCATGCACTCACGAAGGCCTGAAATATTAAATATATAAAATCAATATATCGAGAACACCGAGGAAAAGTTCTTTTGTGTTTCTTGGTTTTTTTCCCTTCAATTTAATTTATAAAATCTCAATAAATAAAGAAAATTTTCACACCTGGGTATCATCAGCAACTCCATCTCCAACTGCACCAAAGCTATCTACATTAAAAAGGGTCTTGCCACCACGTTCGCTTCTCCATCCTGGGGTCTCGAGAAGTTCCTCTTCTATCTCTGTGACACCGAAATTCAAGTCTTCATCAAGTTCTCTAAGCATGGCAATGTCGTCATATATGTTATTCTCTGCAACTCCATGAGCTGCAGCTACCAGCACAAAAACAAGAAGCAACACAAGGGAAAACTTCTCCATGTTTTCTTACGTGTGTGATGACTATGTTTTTGTAGGAACTTCTGAGTTCTGATTTATATAAATCAAGGGGAAGACATGGTTTTGATTTATATACGTGACATTAGTGGTGAAAATGAAGAGTTTGGGAGGGTTGCATATGGCTTGGCTTTGAAGAAGATGAAGGTGTCTTCTTTCTTTATTCTTTATCCACATGCCTAGACTTTAAGTAGAAGGGAAAAATGTTTTGGAATATTTGGCTTTACTCTTTCACCATTGAGCTCGAAATTCACCCAAATCCCAAGCTTTTCTGGAAATTTTGATCTGATCTACGGGTACATGACTACATGCCGGCAGTTTTCCTGCTTTGCCTTGTCATATCAATGACATAAATGAAGAAATAATTGAGCCGCTTTCAGGTTCCACTCGTTTCAGTGCTGCGATGACCCATTTGCCACCCATTATCTACTTGAATGCTACGTTATGTAGCATTACATGTTTGCTCTGGCCTACCCCCATCTTACGGCAGTCCAAACAGACCATCAATGGGCCTATGGACGAATAATCTATTAGCCCAACCTTTCTGGGTTTGGATTTATTTTTTTATTATAACTTGCAGACCCAATAAACAGAATACAGAAACATGGGTTAGCATGAGTTTGTTAAGTGGGTGTTGGTCCCTTCTTAGAATTAGGCAGGCCTAGGACCATTTTTATGTACCCATGGATGGCTTGTTAATTATTAGGCTACTCAGGTCTGGAGAGAAGCCGTCTTTGTCCAAACTGCGCCAGTTATTTAAGATTGCTTCCCACAGATTGGAATCAGACCGTTTATGAAGAGAATCAACTGCTGGTACCTCYGAGAAATGTGACTTCCTATTACAGTAAAGTTGACAGGACTCGTATGGATTTCAAATTTTCAATGTTTAAAACTGTTTTTCTTGGCTCCATATCAAATCTGCGACAAGCAAATTCTGAGGGGAGGATTGGTCTTTGGCCTCTTTTCTTGTAAACAGAGTAAAAAACAAGATGCTCCCTTACGACTGATGAACTACATCTATGAACCATGCCGATGTATTAGCTTCTTTCAAGTGGAACATGAAATTTTTACACCCAAAATTTCCTTTCTCATCCCATCCCACCAAAATCTTCCCACAAACCAAAATTTCCTAACTAATTTGCCATGTATTCTACCAAAAAAAACTTGCCATGTATAAGTTCCCTGGGTCATTCAGGGAAGCCCACTTCACAACACAACTAAAGAAACCCACTCTGTTATATGTCATATGACTCATATCTTTGGTCAATGTATTCAATCCTAGCTCCTTCTTCCTTGTCTGGAACCACCAATCGTCATAAATCCAAATATTGCCCAACTCATAATTGGTTGTTCATGTATGAAAGGAACGTAACACAGTTATTGATAACGTCATAAACTTACTAATCAAAAGTTGTATCTTCTTATGTTATCAGGTAAATGCCTAAATGGGTCTTTGCTCCAAAAGAAGAAATAACAAATAAATAAATGAAATAATGAACCTCACAGGGGAGAATGGCATCAAAAGTGAGTATTTTTACAAAAAACACAAACTAGAATATAATAACAATTACAATCACATGTCAAAAGATACAGCTGAACATTATACATTAGCAAGTCCCTGCTCAGAAAACATGACCCCCCCCCCATGTCATCTCAGTTCTCCCTAGGATTCAAAGGATTTTTACACTGTCATAAACAGAAAGCATTATCAGTTCATAGTGTCAGCAGACCATTGCAAGAGCCTCCAAGAGGGGAGGCAGCAAATTCCATCTGGGTGTCTTCATCAACTCTTGAAAATAGAGAAACATGGATGAAGACTGAAGAGAGACCTGTAGCCTCTCTGTTCAGCAAATCAAAGCGGGTGGTAGTAGATGTAATAGCACATAAACACATCTGCATCATCTGATACTGCTACATCATAACCCTTCTTACTCAAAGAACTAAGCGATGGCATCAACACAGCAAGTAGTCTTTATGCACCAAATCAATATTGCTACATCATACCCCACTCTTATATGAACAGATTCAAATCAATATTGCTCTCTTACAACTGATAACTACATTTATGAATCATGCCTATGTATTTGTATCTTACAAGTGGATATATATACCCCTTTGTTCCTTTATCATCCAGTTGAATGTGATAGTCAATTGCTTCCTATTGTGACCTGTGACTGTGAGAGAACCATTACAATAATTCTGTACTCAATAATTCTCGTTTAACCATTGCTTCCTAATTTACAGTCTTCTGTTTCATTCTTATTTCAGTAGAAGGTATTAGGTTCAGCCTGATCAGTATGATTTCTGGGCTGTGATTGACTGTACAGAATTGATAAGTATACCTGCAGCAAAATAATGTGAACCTACCGGGGTAAGTGGTTGCACATGATGTCAAGAGTAACCATGATTGATTGACTCAATAAAGCTGTAACCTGTCCCCTTTCTCATTTCACTTGTTTCCTTGTATTCTCTAATTTTCATGGACATCTCTGTATCACCAATTTCAGAATAGAAGTTCGATGCCTGCAACAACACTGCAGGATTGTCTGGGTCGAGCTCCAGCAAAGCTATTGCAGCTCTTCTTCCTACCTTCTCATTTCGGTGTACTATACAACTACGCAACAGGGAGCTCCACATTACTGAATCACCCTTAACTGGTGAGCATTTTAGCAACACTTCTGCTTCCTCTAACAAGCCTGCTCGCCCCAGAAGATCAACCATGCATGAATAGTGCCTCCTGTCTGGGTAGACGGCATGGATGGTTTCCATTGATTCAAATATTAATTGCCCTTCTCTCACCAAACCTGAGTGACTGCAACCCATTAACACAGACAAGAACGTTACAGCATCTGGCTTCAGGCCCTCCTGGATCATGGTCTCAAGCATCTTGAGGCCCTCTCTACCCATTCCGTGTCGAGCATACCCAGTAATGAGTGATGTGAAGCAGATTAGGTTTGGAGCTGGAATTTGTTTGAAAACCTGGCAAGCATGTTGGATATGACCACATTTTGAATAGGCATCAATCAAGGAGCATGAAACCACCATATCCAACTCAAATCCTGATTTTATTATGCAACAGTGCAGCAATGCGCAGCTTGTCAAACTTGCCAAGGCAGATGATGACAATGCCTTCAGTGTCGTAGAGAAAGAAACATGATCCAGTCCTACTCCTTCATCCATCATCAGTCCAAACATCTCAACCACATCCTCTATTGCACCACAGTGTAACAAAGAAGTCATCAATGAATTGCAGCATTCTAGAGTTCTCTCCGGGCTATCCTCAAACAATGCTACTGAACTTTCAATTTGGCCACATTTTCCATACATGTTGACTAGTGCAGATTGAAGATGGATGCTTACACAGTCAAAACCCAGTTTTAGAACACAACAGTGAACTTGTTCCCCAAATTGAAGAGTCTTAGACTCGATGGCTGCATTCAAGAAGGCAACAAATGAACGAATCGAAGGGTTCTTTCCCCAACATTGCATCCTAGCAAAGAATTCAAGAGCTTCATGTAAAAGACCATTATCAGCATAGACAGAAACAACTGAGTTCCATGAAAGAACATCTTCAACTGGAATAATTTCGAAGGACTTCCTTGTATCAGTCAAGCTTCCACAAGCCGAATAGAAGTCCACTAAAGCATTGGCAACAAATAAATTCGACTGTAACCATCCGCCCTTAATCACCTGACAATGCAGCTGCTTCCCTTCATCCAACAATCTCCCAACACCACAGGCATATATCAAATAGCAGAAAGTAACACCATTTGGCCTAACCCCAACATCTGATTTCATCTTCAAGTAGAATCCTAGCACCTCATATGATCGACTCAGTTGAGAGAACCCACGAAGAACCAAATTCCACGTTGCTAAACTTCTACCAGGCAATTCATCAAACAACCGCATAGCAGGGTTAAGATATGAAGCTTGCAGGTACAGATCAATCAGTGCGGACCCAACAAACAAGTTTACGTTGAACCCAAGCAAAACCACTCTGCAATGAACTTGAAGGCCTTCTCGGTAGAACCCAGCACCACTGCAAATACCCAAAACTGAAGAGCATGTGGACGAGCTTTCTCTAAGGCCTCGAGAAACCATTTCTTTGAAGAGATCAAGGGCCAACTCTGGAAACCCATAGCGAGCGTGACCAGCTATTACCAAGTTCCAGGAGACGACGTCACGGACGGACATTGCTTCAAATATCTCAACGGCTGAATGAAGACGGCCACATTTGATCAATTTATCGATCGTTCGGTTGCAGGAGAACACACCCGCGTAATAACTTCCATCCAGCTCTAATAAAGCAGAAGAGAAAGAAGCTCGGGTTGCTATTTTTGGTATAACAACGGCGACAATCGATCGGGCAAAACTTAATAGACTTCTTGTTCGCAATGGCATTGCTTGCAATTGCAAGCGCCTTCGATGGCGAGGTACCAAGGTAAAAAAAAACAAGGATATTAACTTTGTGACTTTGGGATGCGGACGGGTCGGGTGGGAGATATCGTAACATGACCCGGACCCAATATGCATAGTGCGGCTCCTTTCCAGTTTCCACTTTCCACGCAGCACTGACGCAGGTTATGAAGTATTGAAGTATGATACGTAATCCGAATTCCGAACCCAAACACCTCTCAAGTCTCAAGGCCATGGCCCATGGGCACGTCCAAGGTAAAATCGTTAGGGCCCATTTGGGATTTGGGAGAGGGCTAAGCTGAAGATGGTTCAACTGTTTTTAATCTCTCCGGTCCAACTAAGTATTCAAAGAGGCTGAAGCTTACAACCCTTCAAATGACCGACTGACAGATGATTAGGACCCTCCTGATTTTTCGCCAAATAAGTACTTAAGGTTATGTTTGGTTTGAAAGAAAAAATAGGGAAAGGTAGAAAAACCTTTACAAATCTTGTATAGGTTTTCTCACCTTTCCCTTTCTTTCCCTACATTTTCCTTCAAACCAAACATAGCCTAAAACTCCTTTATCCCAAAGTTTTAGTTTAGGATACTAATGTGTATGGTGATAGACTGATAGTGACTAGGACTAATTCTCCAATTCTAGTGGGAACTGGGAAGAACAAGCATGCGTTGGACCTTTACATATTTAGGGATGCAACTTGGATCAGGTTGGGTTGAAATTTTGTCAAATTTCAATGGGTACTAATCTTAACCTTAATCCAAGCCTGATGTGATGTAATTGAAATTCTTTTTAAGTCGGGCAACCCAATTTGCAGCCCTAAATGGATTGATCACATTGGTTTTATGGTCAATTTAGATAGGGTGGCAAAGGAGTGGATTGGATTGGGTTGGGTGTGGGTTGAGTACCAACCCACCCATATTGACCCACTAACCTATTTGTCACCCATATTTATAGATGTTAATGGGTCACAATCCACTTTGACCCCGACTCACCCATATGACCTGCTAAGAAATTTACAAAACCTCTCCTTTTTATGTACAATCCATAAAATTTCAAATTTATCTCTGGTGATCCCACCTTCTCTCTTTCTCTCCCTCTCCTCTCCCAATCTCTTTCCGCTCATCTCTCTCTCTCTCTCTCTCTCTCTCTCTCATTCTTCTCCTCCTTTTCTCTCCACTGCTGCAACCTGCTTCCTCCTCTCTTCCACTACAACCTGCAACTTTGTATATAACAAAAATAGAGCAGTAGCAGCTACCCTCAATAGTAAGGGTGTCAATGGACCGATTTTGGATTGGACCCCATCCAGTCCAAAATCAATTTGGATAGACCAACAAGACCTATTGGATTGGACTAATCCGGTCCAAAATATTTATTAGATTGGATTGGACCTGGTCCATCCGTAATAAATTTATATTGGATTGGGTTGGATTCAGCCAATATCTGGTCCATTGATATAAGATAAGAATATAGGTGTCAATGGACCAGGTTTGGGTTGAAACCAATCTAAATCAAGATGAATTTGAACAGATTGGATGGTCCAGACATTGAATTGGACCGGTCCAAAATATTCATTGGATTGGATTAGGCCTGGTCCATTTATAATGGATTTGCATTGGACTGAATTGGATTGGACCAAATTCAGATCAATTGACACCCCTACTCACTAGACTGGAGGTGAAAGGTTACTCTCCAACCTTCAGCCCTAATGCAAATAAAAATTTGCATTACTGCAAAACTATGACAGTGCAAATCATTTGAGTGTAAATTCTGACCTATTTTGTTTCAAATTTTAACTTATTTTATTTGATTGCGATATAAATAAAGTAAATTAAGACATAAAAGCAAAATAAAGTAAAACCCAAAACAAAATTAAAAGAGAATTAGCATTTTTTTCATTTGCACTCTCATACATTTATACTAATGTAAATAAAATTGCACTGTAACCAAATAGCAGAGGTAAAAGGTGGGTTTTCAAGTAGGTTGGGGTCAAAATTGTCAACCTTAATTTAGGCCACCCTACAGAAAAGAGATGGTACATATCAGCCACACGTAGACATTATATTAATAATAATTCCTGAAGCTTAATTATACGGACCATGCACGGTCATGGGATAGATCTACATTTGGTTTGCCGGATGAGAAGGAATAAAAAGGGAATGACTCTTTTCTTTTTTTTTCGGTTTTGAGATGAAATGAGATACGAGATACATAGGGCTGTCAATGGTCCGGTCTACCTGACAGAACCGAATTAACTGAACTGATAATATCCGTTTTGGTTGAGATTTTTTGTCCCAATTTTATTAATTGGGTTGGGGCTGGTTTCATGCAGTCCTGACCCAGACCCGACACGTGACAGCCCTAGAGATGGGATAGAAAACAGTTGGAAATGTAATTCTCCCTTTTTTCAGTTGTAATTCTCGTGGTTTTTGAAGTAGGTTTGCATCATTTTGGTGTGAAAAAGTAGGAAAGGAGGGCAAGACCCATCAAACCCAAACTACTCCATAAAAAGAAAAAAGCAATGGTACATGAAATTTTTGGGGACTGACATTTCCACTGTATCTGTATTCCCTTGTACAACCAATGGAACATGAATTTTTTTTTGCACCCAATTTTCATTTGTCATCCCATCCCGCCAGAATCTTCCCACAAACCAAATGCAAAAGCTCTTTATGAGCTCCGAACTAATTTGCATAAGATTCCTGTGCAATTCAAGAAAGACCATCTAACAACAAAACTAAAAAWACCCACTCTGTTATATTTTTGGTCAATGCATTCAATCCTAGCACTTCATTCCTTGTCCGGAACCACAAATCATCATAAATCCAAACATTGCCCGTAACACAGTTATTGATAACATCATAAACTTATTAATCCAAGCTTGGGCATGTCATCAGGTAAATGATTAAATGAGTCTTGCCCTATGAGTAGCAATAACAAATAATGAAATGAAATAAAGAACCACATAGGAGAATGACATCCTGTGAGTATTTTGCCATAAATACATACTGGAATATACTGATAATTAAGATCATATGTCACAAGATACAGCTGAGCATTATACATTAGCAAGTCCCCGCTCAAAAAACATAAACCCCCTATGTCATCTCAACTCTCCCTAGGAAAGAAAGAAACTTTCCTCGGATTCAAAGGACATTTACAGTACTATCATAAACAGACTGTATTCTCAATTCTTAATATGCAAGAAAAGAGGCTATTGCTAAGAATGTTGTGTCAACAGATCACTGCAAGAGCCTCCAAGAGGGAGGCAGCAAATTCCATCTGGGTGTCTTCATCAATTCTTGAAAACAGAGGAACATGGATGAAGAGAGACTTGTGGCCTCTCTGTTCAGCAAATCGAAGAGAGTGGTAGTAGATGTAATTGCACACAAACACGTCAGCATCATCTGATATTGCTACATCATACCCCTTCTTATTCAAGAACTCAGCGATAGCATCAACACAGCAAGTAGTCTTTATGCATAGACAAAGATTAAATAAATAAAAATTAGAATTTTAGGTTCCATATATAACAATGCACAATTTCATATGATAAGCAAAGACCAGGTAGTCTTTTTCCCCGGATAAGAAAGATGATAGGCAGTAGTTGAATCTTAAAGGGAGGATTTGATCTCAGGTCTTAGGATGATTAGGATACAATGATCCTAGCCATCATAAAACAGTGCAAAGAGGAAAAATTTTTAGAAGAAAAAGGTATAGAGATCAAGAAGCTAACATCATCCACCATTTGAGACCATATCCTATGGCCTTCGGTCCACCATTTACATGGACCATCCAATCAATTTTTTCCACGTAATCTCATAATTTTTGAGACTTAATGGTGGTTATGGACACCACCAACACAATGAGAGCCAACAACTGACTTCCCCTTCTCTATCTCCCCATTCCTTCTTCCTTCTCTCTTCCTTTTCTCCTTTGTTGCCGGTGAACAGGAAAGCAACCAAACCAGCAGTGATCAATGGCAAGAAGAGAGAGGGGGTTATCTACGATAATCTACTTGTATTATCATGCTCATGGCATCGACCTTCTTCAACAATGGAAGGTCCTGCTGTTCAGCCAATAAGATTTCTTGACCTCCATTTATGGTCTTGCCACCCTTCCATAGTATTTTCTTGAGTTTGATCTGAAAAACATTAACCAGTTGATTGCAGAGACACAAATGAAATTGCGAAGAGAAAGAATTCCAGATCAAGGGTAGAAAGAAGAATTGGACAAGTTGGGTTCACCGGATTTCATCTGAAAGAAAGTGTGACAACACAAATCAAAATTCTCATGAGCAACAAAGCAGAAATCAGAGATATACTAACCTAGGTCAGAAATCGGCAGAGGTTTTAGTTCATGTTTCATGATCTGTAATGACTTCATATTTTTCTGTCAGAGTATCTTGGTTTTTTTTTTTTTCTGAAACACCATTCAGGTAACTCAGATCATTGATTCCAAAGAAAAAGAAATAAAAAAGATAGGGAGAAAAAGAAGGAACCAAGGAGACTAGAGGATCCTGTACCTTCCATGGCATTGAGTGTTCTTCTTTTTTGATGAATGCATTGAGTGTTCTTCTTGAAAAGCAAGTTTCGGAGCCAGAGGCATAAAATTGGTGTGTGTGTGTGTGTGTGTGTGTGTGTGCGTGCGTGCGTGCGTGCGTGTGTGTGTGTTCTCACACGCACAGCGCTCTGGCTTTTTGTTCGAAGGGTTTCAGGTTGGGGAAGAAGAGAAAAGAAGACAGTGAACAATCAAGTTTCAGAGCCAGAGGCATAAAATTGGAGTGTGTGTGTGTGTGTGTTTCTCTCACACACAGCGCTCTGGCTTTTTGTTCAAAGGGTTTCAGGTTGGGGAAGAAGAGAAAAGAAGACAGTGAACAATAATGGCTGTTAAGTCTCATAAAAGTCATGAGATTACATGGCAACAACTGATTGGAGGGTACATATAAATGGTGGACTGAAGGGTCTATAAGATGTGCACTCCCATCATTCAATCAGGTCAAGTAGCTATCATCATGCAATCATGTCAACTTGTAACTTAGAATATCTCCATATGGATCACAATTAGCATTTTTGCAAGCACTTGTTATATTTTCCGTAGGGAGGATTGCTTCTTCACATACGAAAATTTTGGGTATTTCTCTTGTTAATATCATTTTTTGCAGGTCAATGATATTATTATCATTAACTGAAGTAATTTTAAATTTTATAACTGAAAAGTTACATCAAGTATTTTTGTCAAAGTGCTTAGCTTCACAATCAATAAACTATCTATAAAAAAGTTTTAACACTCAAGAATTTTTGGCCAATTAATGCTTGTTATGATCCTTCATAAGTCCCACAAAAGATTCTACAAAGCTATGTTAGTAGCATGAAAGTTGAATTGAGAATTTGTGAGCAAGCATTATTTGGAAAAGTGCCACAGGGAATAGGGAGTAAATGATTAGTAGGAGAAGCAGTACTGGCACATCTTGGATCAAGAAGATCTCCAATCTTTTTTTCTAATACAATGATCAGTTCTCTATCCAGAATATGTCACCAATTTATCAATTGCAACAAGCAAGTAACAGATAATAAAACATAATATGCAACTCACCTTTCTTGTTTGGAAAGTTCCTCCATCCTCAGGAAATATTGCAAGTTTCTTACAAGATTAAAAAAAAAAAGGTTGAGTTAATAAACCATACATCCTGATAGCTTGGTTTCAACCAATTTAAGTGCAATGATATATATAAAATAAAAAAGACTCTTACCTGAGGCTGCCATCCAAGTTCATCCGGACAAAGAAAGGTAGCCTCATTTACTGCTTGCCGCTCAATAGCAAATTTCAGTGCCCCAGCATTGGCTCCAAAATGAAGCTGAATATACAGAAAAGGAGAAGCTTGAATGGTGAGAAATGTTACATCAACATTGGAGAAATGTAAGCAACCCAGTTTTTGTTTTTAATGCATTTCATTAAGCAACCTAGTATCTTTGAAATTATCAATGCTTTAATTATTCATAAATTTCAAACATGTTGAAGCAAATCTAAAGCTTTTCAATCAACGCCACATAAGTTGAATTTTTGGAAATCAAATTGATGAATGTAGACAGGCTTGATCACAACTACTCAGTTTGAGGCAAAACCAGATAATGGTACAGATTGCACAGTGCAGCTCACAACACTATTCCAAGCTTAGCAATATATACAACCAACTCTGTACCATGAATTGCAAGTCAAGTAAGGTTGATTTTACTCCCTAAAGGTTACCCTAAACTCACCCAATTGGAATGGGGTTATAATTTCAAAAAAAAAAAGTTTTGTTTTTTTTTTTGTTTTTATTTTCCTTAGCAATCAAAAATGAATCTAAATGAAGTGACTAAAATGCTATATAAAACTAAAATGAAACAATTCCATTTCATTAGAACACTAAGCTTCTTCAGACTTGAAAAGAAGGGCTGGAACTGACCCAAATGACTGGTCCATCGCTTGAAGAATTTGTAAATGGTTCAGAGCGACCTGACTCCATTAACTGATAAAGTGTGGGAAGCACCCCATGTCCAGCAGCCTCGAGAACAGTACAACTCCCAAGAATGATTCCCCCGGGCATTCCTCTTCTTTTGAGAAACTCTTTCAGGTTACTAACTATGACCTCAGTAGGATTATTGGCAACTCCATAGAATTTCTTGAATCCAGTCACATGGACTGTAATGGGAAGAGGCCCTTCTGATCCCATCTCCTTGCAGCAGACTCTAAATGCACTTCACAACATTTCTTGGTGGTATGCATATAAATATACCCATCAAACTGGAAAAAAAGTAAAACAAGGTTACTTCCTTGAATAATAGCACAAGCATAACCAATAAGAGCCAGAGAGAAATCAGACCCCTGTTTGGAGGTCGGAGATTATACAAGAAAAGTATGGAGTGAAGTTTTTTTTTTTTTTTAGGTCCATGACAAGAAGTATGCAGTAAAATTGAAGGATGAGAAAGAAAAACGATTATATGAGTCTTTTCTGTTATTATTAATATGGAAACTGACAGGCTTCGACATCCATCAAAATGGAAATTTGCAATCATACTTTCGAGTTTCAACAACTTTATCAACCAACTTATGCGACAAGCTGCTTAAGGCTAATTCAAACCTATACAAAACTTGTATGGGTTGCCCTACCTTTTTCCTTCAAACCAATACAGCCTAAAGATACACCAAACTTATCTAAATCCTACAAAATCAAGAAAAAAGTGAGCTTTACAAATTCTGAGAAGTAACTTCTGATGCTTAAGCCCTGCAATCCAGTAGACAAATAAAGGATAGCAACGTTAAAAGTGGGGGAAAAAGAGTAGTATTAGGATTAGAAAGAGCAAAAGAAAGAAAAACAACGGAACGAATAGAAATTTATGACTTATGAGAGACGATCAAACCATGGGATTGAAAATTAAAGAAGAAAAAAAAAATCACCTGTAGAACCGAAGTTGGAAAAGCCAAGGCTTCAAACCCCACAAAAACCCTGATTCTTTTTTATATGAATCGAAGAAACATGGAGCCGGTAGAAGAAGGTATAAAAGCTGCAGCTCTGAGCACGGGGGTAGGGGGTTACCGCTTCCCCTTGTTAAATGTTGTTTCAAGACCTCCAATCATCCAATGGTTTCAGTTGAAACAATCAAACCGGAAAAGACAAAAAGTAAAACTGCGTATTGGAAATCCGGGATCGACAAATCGACGACGTGCTCAGTATTATTATTATAATGTAATTTTGTGTTTAGGATAAAGTTGAGAGTTGGGAGGCTGAGTTGGAACTGGAACAGTGATTAAGAGAGCGAGCCGCCGGAGAGTGTGAGTTTTACAGTTTTACCGGTTCAGGAATAAGGAGGGGAGGGGGAGAGAAAATAACCTTCTCCCAATCTTAATTCGTAGTTCGTAGTAGGTGGCAGTTTGTCAGCTTTGCTTGCGCTTGGCAAGGTTACGTTAAGGGATACCATCGTCGGGTGGTCGATCTCCTTGGGTGCCTAACCTTGGCACTCTTAGACCATCATCCCTTGCGGGGCGGCCCTAGTTAATGGCTAGCATGATTATCAAGGTTCCTCATGGGTGCATACATGCTCATGGGAATAGTGTATGGACGACACTGCATTGCCGACACTCAAGGGAGGCTTGGCATGCAGGCCTAGCTCAAGCATGACCCTTCACCATGCCAGCCCCTTGCCCAAGTTGAGTGAGCTATCTCGTTGCCCATAGCGCACGGGTGTGTTCCGGCCCAACGGTTGCCTTTCATCATGGCACACAGGTAACCACATCATCGGCATACATGAAACCCATCACATCGACCCTTAGTCGCCTCACATCATGCCCTTCCCCCTTTAGCACGTAAGCGGTGCCTCCCATGGACCGGCCAGAGCCAGCCGAGTGACCCGGCCATGCGACTTGAGGTCATGATCAAGTGCTACTGACCTTGGTGGAGCCATCTCATCGGGCAACTCCTAGCCTCCAAGCGCACATAAGGCTTATCATGGACGCCGCACGGGTTTCTTCCGCTGTAGAACTACCCCCGTGACAAGTTGGCACGCACAAACAACACAAACACTGAACCGAACACAGAGCCACCACGGCACCACCGTGAAGAGAAGACTGAAGAGATAGATGAGATCCTTGACGTCGTCCATACCATACCATAGAGGACTTCGGCTTCAATCCAGGCAGAGTTGGTGCCCCCATCGTTCGCGCAGCATGAATACGCACCACATGTCCTTAAAACATAAAACATGTGCGTCATAAAAATGTGCGGGGTGCTTCTCTCTTGCCCATACCAAATCAAACCACGTTGCACGCTGGTTCTCGAACTCGCATACATGGACCGGGTCGCCATGTCTCTCTCTCCCCCGCAATCCCCATCCTTCCTCTCCCTCTCACTCTCACTCCCATCCAAGGTCAGGGTTCTACCTTTCAAACCGGCTAGTGACCAAAGCAACCGGCGACCGACGGCAACCTTCGTCCATATACTGGCCATGGTTCTTGATGAAGGGTGATTTGGCATGACCTAGTAAGAAGGGGACACGTAGATGCGATCTCCTCGAGGGGCGACAACCAAGCCAAACGAACCCATTTCACAACATTCGGAGCTCGAGTATCCAGCCACTTCGGCATAGAGACACCTCGATACCCATTCCAGTTTGGGACTAAAGAATCGAAGTGCCAGTTCGGCGCTAAAGAGCCAAAACGCCACATAATCAACTCCAAAGGCCTCCCCAACGGACCCCGAATTTCTCAGGATCACGATGAGACTCGTCCTAGCTCCGCCTGAATCGGAGGTAAATGATAAACCTTATCAACATATTGCTCTCCTTCAAAAACGGAACAAACCTTATCTACACAGCCCGGAGATCTCGGAGCTCTTTCGTAAGGCCCACGACTACTCCATTATATAAGGACATGAAACCTCAAGGCAAAGGTACGCGTGATTATTTTACTCATTAGCATTCAAGCACTCAAGTATTCAGCTCGCATTCATAGTATAAGTACTGACTTAAGCATCAGAGCGACCTCGCCGGGTTAGCTACCCCGAGTTCTCTGATCTACTATTCTACAGATTGGTCCAGCTCACCGCACAACTGGAGATCGGATCGTCTTCCAACTAGGAGTATTGAGATCGCGCGCCATCAATTGGTGCCGTCTGTGGGAAACGATCGAAAGGTCATCCCAACTTTAGTTGCAATTTTATTTATTTTTTTCAATTTATCCCAATGGACTCTTCCAGCAACACTGGAAAAAGTACCGAGATGAATGTCACTAGTGGGCAAGATCAGCAATCAACCTTCCCCCAAGGTCCTACGGTATGTATTGGCCAGTTTACTATTCCTCTTACAGTGTCAGGAGTCCCGTCACTGTTCGTACCGCGGGGCACTACGCAAGTGAGCATCCCACTTCCCCCAGCGGGCGCAACTTTCTCCGAGCCATCTGTGGTCCCTCCTGGAATCGGGCACTCCCAGTTCCATGACCTCGTTCAGTGCGTCCAGACAATACAGATCCAGATGCAGCAGGTCCAATAATTCCAGTAGTATCAGTAGTACTATCTGTACCAGCAGTTCCCACCACTGCAGCCGAACCAGCAGCCGATTCCACTCCGGCACCCAAAGTTGCGTCAAGGCTAGAACCCGAATCAGCCTGGAACCAGCCAGAACGTCAACCGATCCCCCCATCGGGGTGAGGGGATCTCGCAAGTACCGGTTCCTCCCAGGGGTCAGGTTTTGCCCCGTGGGAGGAGAGACGGTCAGCACACTCCTCCAGCCTCGCAAGGAAAATTTAGAAACAGGTCCGGGGATAGTCAGTTCAAAAGGGCCAATCCACCTCGGCACTCCCAGTAGGAAAATGACAGCCCACGAGGAGATAATAACCAGCCCGGAGTTTGAGGTGTGAACTCAAGGCAAGACCCCTCCGTTCCTCGTGATAGCCAGTGCGAACCCCGCAACCAAGAGAACCTAGCAAGAAGGAACCAGGATCTACCTCGCGATAATGTTCATAGTGATGCCGAAATACCAGACCAGACCGAAATCAACAGTACCAATGTCGAGCCGGTGAAGAAGCAGCAGCAGCGACGTTGCAAGACACACTACTCCTCGGCCAGAAACAATCCGCCGGTGAAGCCAGGCCAGCAAGTAGAGCAAGCCAAAGAAAGGGAAGAAGTGATCTTGGTGGCTATGAAAACTACGCCTCCATTACTTTGCCGGTCATCTCCTCTGTCTCCCAAGCTCTTGGCAACTCCGATGCCGAAAGATTTCAAGGTACCCCCGTTAGACAAGTATGACGGGTTGCTTGACCCCAACGATTGTCTGGATTCCTTCCAGTCTCAGATGCACCTAGATGGGGTTGACAAGTCTTGCATGTGTGCGGCCTTCTCCACTGCGTTTAGCGGGGTAGTCCGAACTTGGTATCGGAATCTCACGCCGGGCTCCATCAAAAGCTGGTCTCAATTTGCTGACATGTTTACTGTGCACTTCATTACCAGCAAGAAGTGCCCAAATTCGCAAGAAAACCTTCGGGATAACCAATTGCCTCTAAGTAGCCTGAGCATAGATAGCTCGGGTGCAAACCCTACGGCGTCTATCCACCTTGGCGTACAACAACGTAAGGCTAATCCCACTTGGAGTCCAGCTCGTTAGTTTGACACGTTGGGATAACCAACACTTAGAAAATTTTTAGAAATATTTTCGCACAAGAAGATTTTTGCACAAGATTTTTTGAATCATTATATTTCATTAACATAAAAATTCCGAGTACATGATTACTATAACCGGGCTCAGAGGCCCGGGACACACACTATATGGGGGGGTCCAAGAAAAGAGGCATGATTAAACATCCGATCTGCCAGAATCCCCTCCATTAGGTAGGTCAGTCTCCATGTGGTCCTCCTCCACGTCATCTCGGCCTGCCTCCCCTAACGGTCTCGCCTCGAGAAGTTTGTCATCTCTTTCTCCCTCGGAGGAGCCAGGTTCCTTGTCAACCTCCTTCGCCATTTCCTGAGTAACGGTGGACATAGAGATGGACCCGAAATCGAGCTCAAGGAACTTCTCCCGCATCAACCACTTGTAGAGCTTGAAGCCCAACCAGTACAAGCCAGAGCCATACTCGACCTGGAGGTCGTGAAACTCAGGGGACTCCTTGAACTCCTTGATGGCGCGATCTCTTTTCTGGATCCTCACTTCCTGAATGGTGGTGTCGAAGATTTCAGTACGCTCTCTGATCATCGCCTCAAGGTTTTCGTTCTCCCGGAGGAGAGCTTCCTTCTCCCCCTTGAGCTTCTTCTTCTCCTCTGTCAGCACTAGGATCAGCTCCTCTTGGCTCCGAGCTCCCTTCTTGGCTCTGAGAACTTCACCCTGAGCTAAATCGAGCTCATGGTAAAGCTTCTAAGTGTTCTCTTCGGCCTCCCGAGCTCGCTTCAGGCGGATTTCAGATTGGCAGATGAGCGAGTGGATAGCGAAGTTCACCTAAAAAATAGAAAGCAAGTGTAAGTATCACTGACAGAAGAATAAGAAAGTAAGTGAAGGGGTAGGTTACTTACCACCATACAGTAGCTAGCCGCTCTCCCTCCGAGATGACTCGTTGGCATGTCAGCCCACTCCGCGACCTCCTCAAGAAACACGACATCCTTGCTCTTAAGAAGCCCAAGCCGAGGAGTCATTATGCTCTCCTTCGCTAAGGAGGGCTGAGGCTTAGGCACCGAAGTACCTTCAGGCTTGCGAGGTTGGGTCCCCTCATCCTGGTCCTCGTCYAGGTCAACAACCAAGGGTTGGGGGCGAACTTCCTCCCCCGGGAGCTCGGCAGAGGTCGGCTCTGGCGTTGCGACCTCGGGATTAGCACGAACCGAAGAGCCAACCTCCTCTCGACGAGACCTCTTCGAGGCCTTTCTCTTCCTTCCCTTCTGAACACTCCTAAGAAGGTTAGCAATGTCAACTCCCGTCATAGCTTCTGCAAGAGAGAAGAAAAAGAGTTAGTTGCGAACTGAAGTAAGTGCAAAATGAAAAAAAGGAGAAGTAATGTGTGTGCCGAGGTGGAGGCCTACCGGGAGGACTCAGCCCAGCTCGTACAAGCTTTTCCTCGGCTAGGAAATCTTTCATTTTAAGGTTGAGGTCCCTCCAAGAGTTAATGACCACCCTAGTCTCAGCATCCAGCCTCACCCCGGGGCCCTTAATGGCCACTCGCCAGTGAGTCGGGAATGGCCATCCTTCAGGATTCCGAACAAAGAAGTACCTCCTCTTCCAGGCCGATACTTTGTTTGGGTTACCGAACAGAACCTTGAATCCAGGGCGAGGAGAGATATAATAACTCTGTCGGGTGTCCCCGCGCAGGCAAGAAGCATTCTTCTTAATGGAGCAAATCGAGCTAAAGATGTCTAGGGTAAGAGGTTGGTTATACTCGTGGAAAAGTGAGATCATGCCAACAATGGTACAAATGGAGTTTGGGTGTAGCTGGTCAATAGTGATGTTAAAGAACTTAATGATTTCTATGATGAAAGGGTGGAGCGGGAAGCGCAACCCAGCTACGAGCTACTCCTCAAAAACCGCGAGCTCGTGATGACCGTGAACCCAAGGGTATTGACCCAAAGGAATATTGAAGACAAGAGCGTTRGGGAGACGGTAACGGGCTATCAAGGACAACAATCTATCCGAGGTCATTGTGGAAGGGCCGAAGTTATCTGGATCCCGACCTCGAGAAGATGGGACCCCCTCTCTGGAGGTTGATCGCTCGACCTGAGGTTCGGGTTCCTCAAGCCGAGATGCCCAACGTTAGGTAAAGGTGTTTGTCCTAAAAGGTGTAAAGAGGAGCTTTCTAGCGAAGAGCTGGCCCCACTGGCGGGAGCCGAGGACCGCACCTTGGCACCCTCGGGCTCACTAGAATCGCTAACTAACCTATCTATGCTAGCACTAGACATATTGGATAGGAAAATGAAAAGGTAACAACTAGTGAAAGAAGAAGAACTCACCAAAAAAGACAATAACGACCTTTGGCCCTCTATCTATGCTGAAGGACTCCGACGCGATCTCAGGAGAGCTCAGTTACACGATTTATGGCGAAGGTAATGGGCCCTTTGGCCCTCTATTTATAGTCCACCACATTCGGAAATCAACGGTTGAGACCTGTACGATCCGACGGCACCCATGAAAACCGGTTGCACGCTACCCGAGGACGAAATTGGTTAAGCGCGCCCTTTGGCGTCTACGGAGTTTATAAACAGTGTGACGACCGCGCGTGCCCGAGACGTAACCTGGGTCATTTCATGGTTGAGCCAGATGGTTGAACAGGCCCGACCAACGGTTCGCCCTCCAAATCGTCTAGACTTCGTGCCAAATCCACCTAGACTCGTCATGAACTCCCTGCACCGGGTTAGGACCCCTGACATGAGGAGTGGAGGGCAATTGATGAAGGGTGATTTGGCACGACCTAGTAAGAAGGGGACACATAGACGCGATCTGCTCGAGGGGTGACAACTCAGCCAAACGAACCCATTTTGCAACATTCGGAGCTCGAGTATCCAGCCACCTCGGCATAGAGACACCTTGATACCCATTCCAGTTCGGAACTAAAGAATCGAAGTGTCGGTTCGGAGCTAAAGAGTCAAAACGCCACATAATCGACTCCAAATGCCTCCCCAACGGACCCCAAATTTCTTGGGATCACGATGAGACTCGTCCTAGCTCCGCCTGAATTGGAGGTAAACGATAAACCTTATCAACATATTGCTCTCCTTCAAAAATGGAACAAACCTTATCTACACAGCCCGGAGATCCCAAAGCTCTTTCGTAAGGCCCACAACTACTCCATTATATAAGGACATGAAACCTCAAGGCAAAGGTACGCGTGATTATTTTACTCACTAGCATTCAAGCACTCTAGTATTCAGCTCACATTTACAGTATAAATACTGACTTAAGCATTGGAGCGACCTCGCTGGTTTAGCTACCCCGGGTTCTCTGATATACTATTCTGTAGATTGGTCCAGCTCGCCGCGCAACTGGAGATCGGATCGTTTTCCAGCTAGGAGTATCTAGATCGCGCACCATCAGTTCTTCTTCTTCTTTTTTTTAATCCTTGGTTTGGCCGTTACATCCCCTAAAAACTAACGTATTCTTTTTTTATTTTTGAATTGTTCCAGAATCGGTGGAATGAACAAGGTATCAGCCATTACGGGCGGTTACGGCATTCTTAACCATTACCAGTGACGAAGAACAATAGAAGTCAGGTAATTTCCTTCTCTCTTCTTGTTGTCTTCAGCCTCACCAATGACCTGGTCTTGTTTTTCCATGTTTGGTGGAGGTGGGTGTTCATGGGTCACTGGGAAGTCAAGAGAATGGGAAAGAAACTCTGGAGGAGGTTCGCTGTCATGGAGGGCTGAGCTGCTGCTGTTGTTGGGTTGTTGGTGGGGACCCTCCACTTTGAAGTTTTGGCAATAACAATTTCAATTTTTAATAAGAGAGAGTTCCTTTTCAGTTTTCACACTAACAAAGGTAACCTGCGATCCTTTCAASAGCCCCTAATACAACAACCCTGTTTTAATTGAATCTAAGATTCTGTCTTTCAACTTTTGAACTATACTTTTTTTATATAATTTTTAGCAAGTTATTCGTTCAAAACCAAAACTTCAAAAGGAAAAAGTGTTGTGGAAGTTGATATTCATGGATATTTTCTACCTTTCTAGGTACAGAAACTGAAAAAAAAAGTGACAAGTAACGAGAGTCCTAATCTTAAGTCACAATTGCAGATAAAAATGGCTTTAGCTCATTCGTGTTTTCCACCAACTACAGTGTACAGTATAGAAATCCACATCGCAACTGGCAAGTAAATAATGCCAAATCTTCAGAATGTACATTCTCAATTTCTCATAAATTTGTTTCTTAAGCTACAAATAAAATAGAATATAACTCTATCATTGAAATGCCAAACAAATAAAAGAACCCTGCCATTGAGACTCCATGAAGCAAAAGCAAAACATATTCAACGTTTTCTTAGTTCCATCATGCTCTGTCATTGAAATGACAAAACATAAGCTTGTTTCTTAGTCCCACCGTGCTTTGTTTTCTTCTTTTTTTTTTATCTCAAAATAGAATATTTTCGGACTGATTTAATAAGAATAAGCCATTAAGATTTAAGGCTGAAGCAAGAAAACATAATATTTGTTTAAAAAAATAAAACAGAGCACGATGGAACTGACCATGGAATATTGAACGGCAAGACATAGCATGAAGAGAGAAGGGAATTACTGGACTTACCTGCTGTTCTTCGTCATCGGTAATGGTTAAGAATGCCATCACCGCCCGTAATGGCTGATACCTTGTCCTTTCCACCGTTCTGGAACGATTAAAAAATAAAAAAAGAATACATTAATTTTAAGGGGATATAACGGCCAAACCAATGATTAAAAAGAAGAAGAAGAATCGTGGCCAGTATCTGGACGAAGGTTGCACCGGTCGCCGGTTGCTTTGGTCACTAGCCGGTTGAAAGGTAGAACCCTGACCTTGGACGGGAGTGAGAGGGAGAGGGAGGATGGGGACTGCCGAGGAGAGAGAGACGTGACAGCCCTGTCCATGTATGTGAGTTCGAGAACCAGCGTGTAGTGTGGGTTCGATTCGATATGGGTGAGAGGGTGGTGAGAGGGAAGCACCTCACACGTTTTTATGATGCACACGTTTTAAGGATGTGTGGCGCGTATTCATGCTGCGCGAACGATGCGCGCATCAACTCTGTCTGGACTAAAGTCGAACTCACCATAGAGATAGGGGCCAACCAGAGAGTTTCATATTGCCAGGACCAAGTTGTCACAGGGCCAATCGGTAGGGCCCCATGCGACACTCGAATGGTTCGAGTAAGCCTAAGAAAGCAAGTAATCACACACAAAGATGGTACACAAGTTTGTGTCGAGGGGACCTCGTGCTTAACCTTTACATGGTCTTGGCACCACTCAATTATCTACCTCCCCTCAAAGAGTAGCTTAAGCTTTTAGTGCTCTGACAAAAGATTACATAAAAATACTGAAAAATCATACTACATAATTACAATAATGCCATCGGCAATCCCCCATACAAAATACACATGTAGCCCCACCCGAGACACACTAGATGACACTCTGATGGCACGTCGTGGGCATGTCAAAGGCACTTGATGGCCCGAAAAAATGGTCACTTGTGACAAAGTGGCGACGCTATACTTCACTTTAAGCCATCAAGCCATGATGTCGATGCTTGACTAGTGAGTAGTGACTGGTGGGGTCTTAGTGTCGGTCTCTCTCTCTCTCCTCTCATCCTGAATTGTGATGTCAACAAGTTGGGCGATTACTCGACTACTGATCTCATAAGACCGGATCTGCTCCTCACACCTGGCGTCTCACAAGCACGTTACATGCACATCCTACCAATATCATGCATTATTGAAAACATCTCACGTATTTATTAGTTATTATTTGATGGAAAATGTTTTCAATGCACGGTGAATGTACCTGTGAGACGCCCGTTTGTAAGGAGCAGATCCCGCTTCCTGATCTCATCACCCCATCCCAACATATATTGATTATTGATTAATGAATGAGGACGAGGAGTCATTTGTTGCTATTCATTTTTGTCACGTTGGTAGATGTTAATGTATCGATAGAATGGGATATTATTGTGGGGTATACATGTGTTTGAGTTTTCTTCCACTATCCTATTACCAAAAAAAAATGTTTTCTTCCTCTATTAGCTAGTTTTAGGGATAAATTTCCCTGAAGGCAGATAATAAATAGTATTAGAGCCTTACATTATGCCTCCCTGTTACAACTGTGCAGCGCAAGTAATGACATCGGTATTGGTAGTATTTTCGGATTAGGTGGACTAGTGTAAAGTCAAGCTGTGTTGTGGACTTGTGGGGTATATATGTGCTCGGTTCCCTTTCCCAAATCTCCTAAGGCACGTAACGTCCTCCTTCTCCCACTCAAAATATGTTAAAATGTTTTTAAGATAAATATCATATGCAAATTCATAATTTTTAATTAATAAAATAATATTCTACTATTAAAATTTTTATTTTTATAGTTCTATTAAAAGAAAATTCATTTTAAATTAATAGATTTGATAGGTTCATTTAACTCCCGTGAAGAGGGGGCACACAGTACCACTGTTTTGAAGATACAGGAGAAAGCCGTACTTGTTGCTCTTACTTACCACAAAATACATTATGATTCCTCCCCGAAAACAGTCCGGACTTCTCAATTCTCCTCCCAAGGGAAAGACTGCAGTCCCTCTGAGTTCAACTATTTTATGAACAAACACAACAAATTTACATGGGAGGAAGAAGACCAATGAAACAGAATTACATTTCAGACAAACAAGGTCATCAGCTGGTAGATGCAAGGGCCTCCAAAAGGGAGGCTGCAAACTGCATCTGAGTGTCTTCATCGATTCTTGAAAACAGAGGGACATGGACGAATAGAGACTTGTGCCCCTTTTGTTCAGCAAACCTCAGAGAGTGGTAGTAAACATAGTTGCACACAAAGCGACCTGCATCATCGGAGATTGCTACATCATAGCCCTTCTTCTTCAAGAACTTCACAATCGCATCTGTAGAACATGAAGTCTGCAAGAAACAGAAGACCAATCAGTGAATCAGATATGCAATGGATAAGGTCATTAAGCACAAGTTTTTACATGTGCTATGCCCAAACATCAACAAATATCTGTGTGCGTGTCTAGGAGAGATAAGTTGGGCGTAACACTGTGAACATACTGACCCATTTGGTAGGACTTAGCCTTATGCCTTTATCTTAGCTTGTAAGTAGCTGCCTTGGTTTAGCTTGCTTTGGAGAAGCCACTGGAGAAGGCTTCAATAGATTTGCAAGACTGGCTTACAATGATCAATTTTGGCCCTCTAGATTTTTTACCAAATGTTGCTTATAAGCTTTCTAGGCAGACCCTACCTCACAAAGCCAAAAGCTACAGCATAAAAGCCCTCCCAAACAACCACACAATCAAGGATTTTCTTTAGTTATTATACTGTTTACAGAAAAAATTTTAACTAAACAAGCATACCAGAATAGTTAGGAAAACAAACAGAAAATTGTACCTCTCTTGTTCGAGAAATTCCCCCATCCTCTGGTACTATAGGGAGTTGCTGAGAAGAAAACAAAAGGATTATGAATAATGTATGCAAAGATAATTTAATTTCTGCATCAAACAGAAGGGAGTTCATTATGGAAAATGAAGAGAGCTTTTCACCTGAGGCTGCCATCCAAGCTCATCTGGACAACGGAAAGTAGCTTCATTAACTGCCTGTCGCTCAATGGCAAACTTTATTGCACCACTATTCACCCCAAAGTGAAGCTGATAGACATAGATATTACAGAAAACTTTAAGGTTAACAATATTTGATTCACAAAGGATCAACACAAATTTGAACGGGTTGTGATAATGGGCTATAATCTTCAAACCATCATTCTTAAACTGCTTTGAACTACTAAAAACTTTAACATAGATCCCCAGGCTAGGTCAAAAGATTTTCATTGAAAAGGTTACTATGCTTGGGAAAACAATTGAAGAATATATTATAGCCATGTAATTCAGACACCCGTTTGATAAACTTTTATAAAGATAGGCTTACACGTATATGATTTGGGTCATAATTGGTACCAAAAATAAGCAAAGCTTTATCCCCACCAATCCATCTTTGAGATCTTTCCCCAACCCACCCAAAGAAGAAAAGAAACAAGCTAGCATAATGCAAGTCAAAATGTTCCAAAACCAAATTAAAATTTAAATATACATGTATAATAGATGATGTATCACATGTAATGTCCAATATATGGCACATACTCAGAAGTAAAGCACAATAATAATAGTATATACTTGGATTCGAAATATGTTGTAATTTGTTATCAAGAGGGAGCAGAAAAGGATCAGAGATCAAACTTTTGATCCCTATGTATGACAATGCTGTTAGAAAAGAAGTATACAGCACCAAAGTTGAAAATATTGATACACCCTGATATGCTCAGAACGTGCGTACTACGGGTTTGAACAACATGCTACCTTTTTTAGATTTTTTTCAAAATTTTACAGGGGGGCGGTATTAGCAAGGCCTACCTGTTAAAATACTAAAATTTTGAAAAACTTAATATTTCACGTATCGGGGGCCAGGGTGGGGCTGATACGATGCAATATGCCCCAATCCCTGGCAAAATTTTGAGCATTGTACAGCACCACCCCTGATCTTGTGGAAGAATTTAAATGAGCATACAGATCTTACTATACCCAAAGTGGGGGTCTTGGGGGAAACTATCCATACCTGATAGAACCCATCCCTCTACATAGAATTAAATAAGCATAGAATCCTAAGAGATATACCATATAGTCCTTTTATGTGTTAATAATAATCCAAAGAATAAATTACAAAGGAAAAAAATCCATGGATAAAGATGAAATATAACAACTGAAAACAAATTAGATAAAACTACATAATTTTCACCAGATTCCAAATCCAATAATCAGAACTTTCATGAACATGCTTCTTTTGCCTAGCTATCTGCCTCTACGTGCTTGGTAAATCATACATAAAATACTAGATAGATGATTAAAATCACTCGAGGATCAGCTGGAACAGTATACAGATAAGAAGGGATTAACGGATAAAAATAAATAGACAACAAAGTGAAGAGGTTGACAAGAACTGGTGGACCTGGATAAGAAAACAGAGACATTTAACAGCAGATTATTGGGTTGTAGTGACACAAGATCTACAAAAGGTGCCAAGACTGCCATATTAGCATTGCTGAAAAGAAATTTGCCTATGCTGGAGATGAGGTAGGGGATGGATGGCTTTATTCTCAAAAGTCACAACGTAATTTAATTTGGTAAATCATTTGTTAGGAATACAAAATATCCAGTATTAATCCAATATTTGTTTCATGTTGGATGGTTTTGCAATATAAACATAGCACCTCTAGCACAGATAAAGAAAGAATATTTTATTTTCCTTTTAAACTGGCCATCCATGTGCTATTTCAGACAGCCATTTCCTACAATGGATGAAGCAAATAATGTGACAAAGGGTAGACCATATCTAGCAACAAAGCAGAACAATGAGGAAGGGTTACTACTATTGCAACTCACATACAAAATGGACAGAAAAGAGGAAGTCAAACCATTCATTCAGAACCACTAGATTCATAACAAAGACCTAATGCTACTCAAGGTTCAATTCCCACTTCCAAACCTGTTATTCCCCACGTCACTATCACTACAAAAAAAAATAAGCTTTAACTCTGAAGTTGAGAATGAGACTAGTGAAATCGTCTCCACAATAGAAGAGGCGATGGTTTCACCATCTAAGAAAGAGGTATAATGAAAACTCCATTCAGGACTCAGGAGGAGAATACTCCAACTTCCGAATTTTCACCGAACCAAACTATGGATCTGATTACAACATAAAATAAATCTCTTTCTTTCATGCCTGGGGGCAGAGGTGTTTTAAAGACCAACAGGCACATAGAAACAGCATCTTATGATTGTTTTTTAATTTAATAACAAGGACTTCATATGAAATGCTCTTAGTAGATTCAAACGTAAATCAACAAGTAACGACTAACGTACTAAATTCTGAGTTTAACTGCATTCTGAACTACCTTACTAAACCCAATTAGAGAATCCAAGTAACGATTTCCTCAATAAGAAACTCCTAACCAAAACAGAGACACTTTTAAGAAAGAAAATCGGTTCCCGGCCAGACTTTACAGAATTGAATTAAAAAAAAAAAAAGGAATGTTTTGCATAATCAAAGCTTACCCATATGACTTGTTCGTTGCTCGGATGATCTGCAGATGGCTTGGAGGTACCCGATTCCAATGTCTTATAAAGCATAGGAAGAGCACCATCTCCGGCTGTCTCGAGAACAGTGCAACTGCCAAGAGTAACTCCTCCCGACAGTCCTCTTCTCTTGAAGAAATCTTTCAGATTACTAACAATCGTCTCTGTGGGATTCTCAGCAACTCCCTGGAATTTCTTGAATCCAGTTACGTGAACTGTAACGCTGAGCGGCCCTTCAGATCCCATTTCCTCAAACCACAATTGGATACAGTTCCCAATATTTGTTGAAAGTAGGAAACTCGTTAGTCTACCGAACAACTCGAACAGGATAAAATCAATACAAATATCGCTCGCCTGGTTCCCACAAATAATAACCCGCCTGAAAGTAAGACGAACGAAGGCAGATCACTGCATGCTTTAAGGAATTAAGAAAATGAAAAACGATGACAAGCTCGGGGAAGAAAACGAAAATTTTAAGCCAAAACTGACGGCTACGATCTAGGGCGTTCCAAAGAAATTAGGATGAACAGGAAATTCGCAAAAAAAAAAAAAAAAGATATTATTCCAAATCTTGAATATAAAAACACGAATATAAAAGCAAATACCTTCTAAAATCAGAAAGAAAGATAATAGAACATCAACTAACTAAATTTGATCATTTAGTAGCGGAGAAAATCGAATAACATGAATTTCGATTGGAATTAAAAACAACGAACTTCAACCCTTCAGAAAGTTGACCATGAAGCAAGACAAAATTCGAGTATTTTTACCGACGAGAGTTACATAAGAATCAAGCAAAAGAACAATTGAGTTACCTAAAACTAACAATCGTGAAAGAAAATTAAGAAGTGAAGTAGGAAAAAGGAAGGACTTACAATCTTCAAACGATCCTAGTTTTTCATAATCGAAAAAATAAAAGTTGCACAGTAGATATACCCTTTCTTTCCGCTCTCTGCCAAATTATTGCCGTCTTTATTAAGAGAAAGAAGCAGCTTCAATGGTCTCTTTATCGGCTGCTGTTAGTATATTTCGCTTATACCCCTCTCCATTTAATTTATTACGAATATGCCACTCCATGTAACAAATCCACCAATTTCTTCTGAGTCTGATTCTACTGCACGCATCTATGGACCATCCATCTAAACCGCACATCTAGCATACACGAACTCTTCATATCTTGAGATTGAGAGCTGAGACGACCGCTAGTTAGGGATCCAGTTGCGTGTTTCACAGAAGATTTTCTGTGAAATACGCACCCTCAATCATTACAGACTTACAGTTGCACCTTTAACAAAGATGCGTTTGGGTAGTAATAGGAATCCATTATTTCAAAGTGAAGATAACCAAACATTGCTACTTTGCTAGTGCGGATAAAAAAAAGGATTAATAAATTATTTATAAGTCGATTATCGACAGGTCAGGTGACTCAGGTCTACTCGATAGAACCTAATCCATCGAGTCCATTTTCTCGGTTTTGTTTCTGGTTGGACCGAAACTGGTTCTTATTTTTTCTGAACCGATTTTATAGTAAACCACCTTTTTTTTATTTTTTGTTATATATATCTTAAACTATAAATTTCATAAAAACTAAATAAATCTATACTATTATTAAAAAAGTATGAATAAAAATGTGGAAATATCTTAATTTTTTTATTTGATTTAAATCCCTAAATATAATTTAAACAACCATTTTTCTTCTCATTTAAATCCCTCTGGTTAAGCCTATATTTTTTAAAGTAAGACCTTAAGCAAAATGATTCATCAAAATCATCAAGAGAGTGTAGAGGGGCTACAAGCATATTTTGCAATAGCATGGGCGGCTTTATTGCTTGTACGTGGTCTGAAAGAGAAGTAGCATATTGGAATTCCTTTAGATTAGAAGGTCCCTGCAATTGGCAATGATAGAGAAAAGTGCAACGGCGTGTTTAGATTATCATCCAACAAGGAATTAACAACCATCTATTAACATATTAAATAAGTCTTATTTTTTAACTAGAATATCCCTTTGAATTTTGGTCATTTTAATTGTGAGGGCATAAAATGTAATTTGAACTACTTTATTTCTCCTCATTCAATTCCCTCTTATTAAGTTATTTAGTATATTAACTCCATTATTTCCATTGGAACCTATGTTTTTTTGGTAAAGAATAATTGTGTGACAAAGAAACCTATGGTTAATGTTAATATTATTTCATTGAAACCTATGGTTGATATTAATTAACCATATCAAATAAAAATAAGTATGATAAAGAATAATTGCTTTTGTTGATGATCGAAATAAAATATAAATTTAAAATTAACCCAAAATAGAGTTGTTTTCCTGTTTCGTGACAAGTCAACAATTCAACCTTTTGGATTAAATATATAAACCTTTGATTTCATAATTAAATAATAATAAAAATTAAAAAAATATAAAAACACATTAGGCACATCTTTAATAATGTATATTTACCATATTAAATTAAAATAAGACACATCTTTAATAAGGTATAAAAACACATTAGACACATATCTTTAATAATGTATATTTACCACATTAGACAATTATTGTATTTTTTCATTATCAATATATTTTCAATAATTGTGTATYTTYRCTATAAATTTTYAATAATTATTRGAGATTAAACTATTGTTATTTATTAGAGATGAGACTATTAATTCAGCTGAAATTATGAGTGTTCATGAGTTGGTTCAGTTCAGTCGTAGGCTATTTGGCCCACTCAAGT